TATGATGTATACATACATATATATATATACATACATACATTCACACAGAGTCATATGTACGTACATATATATATATATATTTTTTTTTTTACTTATCTCTCTATCTATCTATTTATGTATTTATTTATTTATTTATTTATGTGTTTATTTTTTATGTATACATCGTGAAAGGGATAGGCCTTCCTGACTATGATGGTATCTTAATTTAGTGCATGAGTGCACAAATACAATATAAATACATACACAGATAAATACAGCTTTGCTTATAGTGGTGCTTGTAATGGTAGCCTGTTCAAGCTCGTGAGCAAGAGCTCAGAGTCCTAGGCAGTATTAGGGAGACTCCTTACAGGGACCCTTCTTCACCCGACTTCTGGACCTCTGAAAATGTCCTTATTGAGAGGGTCTATCTCCCCAAGTGTCCCCTTAATCCTAAACCCTAAACCTTAAACCCTAAATCCTAAACCCTAAACCCTAAACCCTAAACCTTAAACCCTAAACCCTAATCTTCCACAGAGGACGTTGACGGCGCTCATTTCATGGCCCAGGCGCGTCTGCCCTCGGAGGCCTTTGCTCCTCTGACGGCCGAGGGCGTGATGCGTGCGCTGGACCACTACGGAATTCAGGCTCCACGGTTTAGGGGCATTCTGACAAGGCTTGCTATTTAGGGTATATTATAGGGGCTTTTATAATTCTGTTTGGGTTGCTATAAGGAATACTGTAGGGGTTACTATAAGCTAGGGGTTGCGCTGTGGGGGTTTGGGAAACAGGGGTTCGGGGGTTTTCAGGTGCTCAGGAGGTTTAAACGCCGAACCCTAAACCCCAAACCTTAAGCCCGAAACCCAAACCCCTTCCCCCCCAAAAAAACCCAAAGATTTTTACACCCTAAACCCTGAACCCTAAACCTTAAACCTAAGAAAAGAACTTAAAGAGGTGACAAGAAAGCTCAGGTCCATGGGCTGCACGCAGTGATCCTCGGACGATCTCATTTGGTGGGGCAGCCTTTGGCACTCTTGTTGGGTGCCAGGGGTGCAACGGTGACTCTTCTTCACAGCCAGAGCCAGGATCACAAGTCCTTGTGCGAGAAGGCGGACCTACTTGTGTCAGCCGTTGCCGGGCTCTTGTTGTGGAACTTAGTGTTGGTGCTTAGTTCAAGTTACTGCCATAGAGATCTATAGTGAATGATGGTATGGTTTGCTCAGTATGGTAAATTAAGTTGAACTCCTGAACACCCAGGTTGGCAAGGCGAGGTTCGTGCAAAGCGACTGGATCAAGCCGGGTGCTGTGGTCGTCAACGTCGGCACCACCTTCACCGGGGAGTCGATCGTGCCTGACATCCCTCCCATCAGCGAGTTGGGCCACGCTTTCCTGGTCGTCCGCACTCTAGGCCCCACCTCGGTGGCTCTTTGCCTCCGCAACGTGGCCCAAGCCGCCGCATCGCGCCCTGCCTTACTAGGGGCCACAGCCTCTACGCCCCTCCTCAGCAACGACGCCACCATGGAGCAGTTGCTGGGTTCTTGTAAAGGAGTTTGTCTTAAGTTACCATGACAAGGAAACCATCTTACTTACTAGATTATATACTATAAACCCCCTATGATGGTGGCTGAGTTTAGATTCCTTAAGAAGAACTTAACCCTAAACCCCAAACCCCTAAACCCCTAGACTCCTAAACCCTAGAACCCCTAAACCCCTAAACCCCTGGAACCCTAGAACCCGAAAACCCCTAAACCCCTAGAAAACCCTAGAACCCTAAACCCTAAACCCCTAAACCCCTAAACCCTAAACCCTAGAACCCTAAACCCCAAAACCCCTAAACCCCTAAACCCCTAGAAACCCTGGAACCCTAGAGCCCTAAACCCTGGAGCCCAGGTTGACTTCGGTGCCCGGCTGGTCCCTCGCCTTGCAGGAGGGGCGGCCCTTCCTTACCAAGGACTCCCTGGTTCCTAGTAGGGACTGGGGGAAGGGATCCCCTATGATGGTCCCTTAAGGTCCCCTAAACCCTAAACCCTAAACCCTAAAGCCTAAACCCTAAACCCTAAACCCTAAAGCCCTTAAACCCTAAAGCCTAAAGCCTAAACCCTAAACCCTAAACCCTAAACCCATTCCCTACGAAGAGCCAGAGAGAGGACTTCTGGTTCCCGGCCTACTCTGTGGCCTGCCAGGCCGTGCAGGAGGTGTGCCAGAAGGCAGAGCTCATGACCCTGGGGTTTAGGGTTTAGGGTTTTGGAGTTTAGGGTTTAGGTTTTAGGGACTAGGTTTAAAGTTTTTTGAGGCGTTTTATTTTTTTTTTGGTTTTTGTGGGAGGGTATGGGGACGACCGGGTCGGCAACTGAGCGATGTTTGTGGGCTGGCCCGAACGGGAGAAACCACAACCGGCTATTGGGAAGTGCATTAAAACCCTAAACCCTAACCCCTAAACCCCTACAGCCCCTAAACCCCTAAACCCTAAAACCCTAAAACCCCTAAGCCCTACAAATTTGGACATGCTTTTGCAGAAAACATCCAGGGTACAGCCGTGAGGTTTCAGCACCAAAGTGTGATGGTGGTTAAGGTTTAGGGTTTAGGGTTCGTCCCCTCTCTTTGCACCCGAGCACGAGCGTGGAATGTAATAGATCTAAAAGATGTAGCATGCAAAAATACAAGTATTTCCTGGTTGGGCGTTTGGGAACTTAAGATCAATGTTTTGGTTTGTACGCTTTTGGTCAATGTGGGTGCAAAAGGCATGTGGGCAATACTTAACATGATTTTTCCTTTTTTCATGTACCCTAAACCCTAAACCCTGGTTGTATCTGTCACCCATCTAAAACTAAGCTCTAGAGATTTACGTTGTAATTTTTACCCATCGGGTTGTAGTTACACCGTTCTGGTTATTCTAGTTGTAGTTCGACTCATTCTCGGGTACGGGGTTTTGGGGTTTCGGCCCTCAGCCCCCCAAACCTTTGAACCCCTGAAAACGGTTTAGGGCTTAGGGTTTAGGGGTTTAGGGGTTTAGGGGTTTTGGGTTTAGGGGTTTAGGGTTTAGGGTTTAGGGTTGTGTGAGTCCATGAAAACGTTGAGAAGGCAGAGCTCATGAACCACCACCCGAATCTGAAGCTCTCGCACCATTGCACCCATGGGGTGGTTCTGACGGCCGAGATCTCCACCTACGTCTCCGGTGGAATCTTCGTCCCTTTAGGTTCAGGGTTTAGGGTAAAGGGCTCCAAGTGGCTACCTTCAGATGGGATGGAGGCAGGTGGCGTAATCCCCGGAATACGAATCCTTGTACAAGGATCCTTGATCCTACCTACCTTCATCCCACCTTTTGAGGCCCTCAACCTTTGTTCCTGAGGTAGTAGACAGTAGACTTCTTGGGATACTAGGAGCCTAAACCCTAAACTCCTTGTAACATGATGGCAAAGGAGCTCAGAAAACACGCTGAACCCCAAACCCCTGAAGCCTCAAAACCACGACCCAAAAAGCTGAACCCCCAACGCCAAACCCCAGACCCACAGCCGTAAACCCTAAAACCATGAACCGTAACTCCCAAAAGTCCCCTAACCCTAAACCTTAAACCCCAAAACCCTAAATCCTAAACCCGGAGCCCTAAGCGCTCAAGGAATCACGGACTTCGACTTCGCCTTGGCCAAGGCAATGGATCAGATCAGCCCTTCTGAGGCTCAGGATGTGCAGAAGTACGTGCCGGAGGTGCACATGAAGGACTTCTTAGGCTTTAGGCTTTAGGGTTTAGGGTCCAAGGTCTAGGGTTTGAGGTTAAGGGTTCAGGGTTTAGGGTTTCAGGCTTGGGACTTTAGGCGTTTGGCACAAGCACAGAGGCGACGCCCGCCCAGCTAGCGCAGAAACTGCGCCAGTGCTTCAAACTTCGAACCGTACTTAGATATTGTCGAGCATTGCCTCGCATTTCCACGGTTTCTTTAGCTGTTTTCCTGACTGCCCTCCTTGATTGGTTTATGTTTATTGTGACCCAGGTCGAGTTCTTCCCTACCTTAAGTTTTCCGTAGTTTTGCAGCCATGGCCGATGTTCCGAAGAAAGAAGAATCCTCTCAGGAGACCTCGTCAGTGAAAGAACCTGAGGCAGACGCCTCAGCACGGCAGACGGTGCCAAATGTGCTGCCACAGGCGGCACTTGGCTCGGGAAGCGTGGAAGTTTCGGCGGCGGATTTTGCTGCCTTTAGGGAATGGCAGGAAAAGCAGGCCCAAGCAAGACAGGGCAACCCAGCACCGCCTTCCCCGCCGAAGAAGCAGAAGGTTGAAGACGAAGAAGACATGCAGGAATTCCAAGCTCAACTAGTAGAGCTGGATATCAA